ATCATTTATATATAACGGATCCGTTTTGGTGTCTGGTGTTGGAAGTACTAGTGTTCACAGGTATTGGTTATAATTGTCACAATTATAATAACTAAGAATAATAACATACTATGTGTCCCAAAAGGTATAGTATATTTTGATAAGTAGGATATCTTTGTCTTTAGTCAAAAGTCTTTATGGCTCACACATGAATAAATGTTATCAATAAACAATATTTAAATCATATTTAATCAGCTATTTTAATATTGAATTAATTTAATAGTTGATTAAGTATGCCTTAAATATCGTTTATTGATGACATTTAGCACTAGATACTACTTATCAAAATTTTCTCTACCTTTTTGGACACATAGTATTGAAATAATAGAGAATTTGCAATAACCAAAAGTCATAATTTCTAGGCTTAAACTGAACTGAAACGATATTTTTGCTCAAATAATTGATGCGTGGATTTGATGTCATATTTGTATTGTCTTCAACACAACTAAACTGTTTGTATGGATAATAAGTTCTTTAATTTCTTTTTGTGCAAAAAATTATTATTTGTTAAAAAACGTATTTTGAGTCCATTTATTGGCATTCAGTGATTGGCAGCACTGGATCACTGATCACTGATCATTGGATCACCGGATCACTGGATTAGGTGACAGTTGTGGCCGCAGTTGTGCTCGTATTCGTTGCCTTATGGAGGAGTTCACTATTGCTTTTGCAATCCAGTCGTTCCTCTTTGAACTTATTGTCCTCACTATCAGAGTTAGACATATAGTTAGGGTTTGAGTGGGAATTATGTTCACTATTGAGTAAATGGCACGAGTCGTAACATAAATCCGGGTCACCGTATGGTGTGATCGGTGTTATCGATGGGTTGAACGGTATGTTTGGATCTGAAAACAAAATTTACCCGTTATATCAATACTACAACAAATTCATTATATAATCGCATTCATTATAATCAATAACAAACAATACATTTTAAAATTAATAATTGTAAATTATATGACTATTACATGTGATAATAATAAATTTGCTTTCATTTTAGATGCAATAAAAACAAGTCAAACCTATGCATAAAAAGACGGGTTCTCCGGCGTATTGGCCCCTCCCGTATGGATGGAGATGAGGACATCGTTGTTCAACGCGCTCACAGAATGATCGACACGGCTTTATGAGACCACCGTTGATGTGAAATGGGATTATCATCGAACAAACCCATTCCCGGTATACTTTCTACACAATCAATATACCATTTATTAATTTTAAGCAATTTCCATATATACATGTATGTTTGATAACTTGTTTGTATAATTTCTATATATTTTGTGTAAATGTTTAGTAATGTAATGGTTATATTAAAATTTAAAGCTATTCAAAAGCAATATACTGTAATAGAGTTAAACAGCACATCATATCTTAGCTCATTTAATGCTATATATTACTGTTATTATCAAGTAAACAAATTTGGTCTAGCTGATAAATATTTTTATAATTAAATGTTGTTATTAATAATAAATTTAATTGAATAGATGTTTGTTTTAAAAGTGTTGCAAACTTTATTTAAGCATTTTTCTAATATATTTTGACATAAATATAAGAGTTTTTATGTTTTAAGTATAAAAAATTAAATTTAGTGCCAAAAGCAATAAAATTGCTAAAAAGCCATTAAAATACAGGATTCGGTCAAATGATTAGAAAATATAGTTGCCATTAGAGACGAGAGTCACCACTCCATCCACTCCTACAGCTCAGGCATCTATTGACTCACATTTGGGATACAGAATATATGTTACCGTATATTCTTGTATACGATTGGAGTCAAGCAAACCATGACTTGATTGCATTGTATGCATCAAATACATGGAAATTGAAGTAAATTATAATACAATAGATTTACAAAATGCTGACCTCATATGCAATGTTGCATTGTTTCAAATATAAGAGACAATTCAATTCATTCAATATCTTTCTAATAAATAACTAAATCTTATTATTAAAGAATATTAGACTTTATGTACTCATCATAAAGTCTGTTGTGTTTATCATTAGACGAAAATGTATTGTATTTTAAGATTTATTGATTAATTTCTATATATATTAAGCCAAAAGTATTAAATACAATATATTATATAGATTTTGATTAGACTCTTAATAATAACTCTATTTGAATGATAAAATTGTTTGATTAATAAATTGATTTGTATTGATTTTCTTTTAAATCCACTGTTAAAACACTAATTCCTTTTAATAACAGTAATTATTTGTTCTCAAATAAAATGAGACATAACATTTATACATAACAATAATTAATAATATTTATTAGACTTAAAGTCCGATCAAATCCATTGACAATGTATTGACTCCTTTTAAGTCTTACAGCTATTTTGTAATTATGGTCACAATTTATAGATATATAGCATTATTAACATTTTGTTTTCCACTAATTTATTTATAAATAAAATTAATATAAACCTAAACTCTGTCGGCAAATATTTTGGACCTTTTAATGACTCTTTTTTATATAATATTTTGTTAGTTTAATATAATCTCAAAAGTATTTACATCACAGAAAAGCGGAAAAATATTGATTTATGAAAATTTTGTGAATAACTTATTTCATGAATATATTTACTAATATAAAAGCAAATGAATTCTTAATTCCACAACAAAATACAATTAATAGTAAAAACACAAAAACGGGTAGAAATTTAGGAAAAGTTAATAAAATAGAAAAAATGAAATAAATTTGTGCACAAAATACAAGTTTATTTTATTATAAATATTTTTTATCAATTCAAAAGCAGACCCTTTTCTGTCTATTCAGTAGAAAATAGACTTAAATCGATAGCCAAGTATACCATAGACTAGTATAGAGTATATATCAGGTTTGACAACAAAGACTTGATTTTTATTAGTTTATATATTTCTTAAGATTATATAAACGCCATGTATTTCCACTTCTTTTGAGGCATAAAATGTATTATCAACACAATTGAAAGTCTATAACGTATTAGAATATCATTTATTCACATTTTTTGTTACACTAAATATTTTTTAAACATAAAACCGAAAAATATTGATATTATTTGTGAGAAAACAATCGATAAAATGAACACTCAGTTCAGGCAAAAGAGGAAAAATCTGTGCTCAAAGACATTGACTTATCTTTTAAATAACGCTCTCTCTCTCTCTCTCTCTCTCTCTCTCTCTCT